CTAGGTTTACTTTATTCTCATAAAGTAAATTCCTGGGAGTACACATATCCAACGACATGTCTTGGTCTGCTAACACCTCTGCAACGATCAAAAAGGCACAGCAACTGCTGCACTTCCTCAGAGTGCTTAGGAAGAACAACATAGAGTGTAAGCTGCTGGTTACCTTTTACCGCTCAACCATAGAGAGTGTGTTAGTGTACTGCATTTCAGTGTGGTACTCCAGTTGCACTGCAGCAGACAAGAAAGCCCTCCAAAGAATAATCAACACAGCCCAAAAAATCACGGGCTGCTCACTACCCTCCCTGGAAAGCATTGCTCGCTCCCATTATCTCTCAAGGGCCAAAAACATCATCAAGGACACATCCCATCCAGGACACCACCTGTTTAATCTTCTGCCCTCAGGCAGGCGGTACAGATCCTTAAGAGCAAAAACCACTCGCTTACAGAACAGTTTCTTCCCAGTTGCTATCAGGACTTTAAACTCATAAAATGCACTAATGCCAAAATACTATTCCAACCACGTTATTCTTTTAACTACAGTCACTTATTTCATTCAAATTTCTTCTGTCTATACTGCTGCTATACAACATGCAATATACAATATTGTACAATATGCAGTATGTCAATCTGCAATACCACTGTCTGAACAATTTATTTATCAGAACTTCAAACAATGCACTAAATAGTATGTCAGGGTGAAATACCATATCTGGTTACTAAATGTGAACACTATATCTGCAGTAAAGGTGCAATAATATATGTGCAATAATATACACTATATGTCAATGTGCAATACTATCTCTAGTCACTAAATCACCACAGTTACTCATTCCATTTAAATTGTACTTTTGTATAAACTTACTGTGCATATCAAGGTGAAGGCCAACGTGCAATACTATAAATGGTCACTTTACTCGGATTGCTCAATGTGAATATCAGGACTCAGTCACTTGTTGTATTTACTTGTAAAATTGTACTGTACAGTCTTATAGTATTTATTGTCTGTGGTTATATGTTTGTTTTTCTAACACCAGTCAGGAGTAGTGCTCCTAATTTCGTTGTATACAGAAAAATACAATGACAATAAAGGCGTTCAATTCAATTCAATTCAATTAAATTTAAAGCAGCAGACGCATGTGCGCATAGAATAAACAGACGATATCGTTCGGTGGTGTGGATGCTAATATCGTTATCTTTATAGTTATCGTTCTTGGTGTGAACGGGACTTTATAGTATTTATTGATATTTTGAATTAGCTTTTATTTTTATATTTTCAGTTTCGCCCATAAGTTTAAGCAATTTTGTTATGTTGTTTTTGTGATTGTTTTTAATATTCTTATTTCAGTAATCTTGAACTTAAACTTATTACATCTTGTTGCCAACATTTCAAATTTTCAGTGATCAATATATTTTCAGTATATTTCATCGAAAAAACATAAATATTAGTGCTGTCAAACGATTAATCGCGATTAATCGCATCCAAAATAAAAGTTTTTGTTTACGCAATATATGTTTGTGTACTGTGCACATTTATTATGTATATATAAAAGCACACACATATAAGCACAGTGTATATTTTGAAAATATTTACATGTATATATTTATCTTCATATAATTTATATTATATATAACTATATTGTATAAACATAACATCTTTTTCTTATTTTATTTCAATTACTCAAAAAGATTTAGTTTTAGTTTTAACAGTAATAAACATGTACAAATGTAATTATGGAAGTTGAAATTGACCACCAAACCAACAATATTACCACAATCCATTCTTTCAAATCTGGCAATTGTATCTTTTTCTCTTTATCTTGTATAGCTTGTATCCTGATTATTGCTGTTTTTGATTATATTGAATGTGTTTGTCTTTGTTCTCCAGGAGGAACATGGCACCGTTTGGAGTGAAGGTTTTGTGCATTGAACCTGGATTCTTCAAAACAAGCATTACTGACTCCACTGTCTTTGAGAGACATTTGCAGAGATTATGGGAAAAGTTGCCTCAGGAGGTCAAGGATGAGTACGGCAGTGATTTCATAGACAGAAGTGAGTTCAAATCCAATAACCGGTTTCAAATACATGTCACACTCCCAAACTGTTTGCAGAACTAGTTCTGAAAGCTAATATACATTCCTGATGTCCCTATGGTTGTGTTTGCAGCGATGCTGGTGTTTAAGGAGAAGTTTGAGAAGATGTTGGATCCAGATCTGATGAAGGTGGTGAGCTGTATGGAGCACGCTGTGGCTGCGGTCCATCCTCGGACCAGATATTCTCCAGGCTGGGATGCCAAGTTCATCTGGCTGCCTCTCTCCTACATGCCAACCTTCATCTCGGATGCTTTCATCTTAAAAGATGCTGTTAAACCAAAAGTGTCAGTTCTGTAAGCATAAGATGCAGTCATGCTATGCGTATGGATGGAATAAATCATTTTTTCCACTTTCGGGGGGATGTATGGTTGGTATGAGCAAAATTAAATATTTTCTTATTTGAACGAAAATTACATTTAAACTCAATCTATTGTTCTACGGCATTTAGATTGTAGAAATAAATTTAATATAGATAATCTTGACTTTAACGTCTTTATGCATTATTTTGAACTCAAGGCCCACTCATTTCCAAACGTGGACATTGCAAAAACTAATTAAAGGCATTTTCAAGCAAACAGCGTGCACAAAATATTTGTGTGAATAATGAATTGAAATGTTGAATTGTGAAATATTTTCTTACTTTTACAGCATTTCAAACTTTCCCATGCAGTACACATGAAGAGTTTGGTTCCAAAACGCTATAAATCCATTTTGATTAATTTGAGTAAAAATGTGTTTTCTTTACCAAGAAAGTGGCAAGATGAAAACCACTATTTTCTGTTTCAAACTTTCACATAGCATCTTTAGGTTATAATAACATTAAAAATTCAAATCCAGATTTAGATTTTCAAAGATTTATTATAAAATTTTATTCTTTTTTGTATTCTTTTTGTTTCAAAATGCAATAAATCCATTGAATCAATATAAAAGTTATTTTTCATATTGAAACTGTTGAAATATGGCTCGGTGTATTAAATGCCACTCCATCTGAAAGCACGTGATGGAGATTTACTACTAATAACAGAACCGGCTTTGTCTAGAGCAGGGATGGGCAACTGGCAGCCCGCAGTGTCTTTTAGTACGGCCCGCTGGATCATATTAGACTCAGATGATCAATTTTAAAATACATTCATTTAGTTGACTAGTGCTATACGCTGTATTAACAAAAACATTAATGGCATAAATAAAAACACTTATACTGACAAGCTACGCAATATCGCGTTTATAATCGAATGCGACTCATCTGCGATTATGAACGCGATATAAAAGCAAGTCACGTAAAGATTGCTCAGTTTATGATGTTAATACTATCTCCAACCAGGAGAGGTCACTAGCTTCCAGCCGCTCCCCTATTAATTTCAGCGTAGTAGGACGTGCACTCTAATGTAAACATTCACTAACATTAGCAAATAATTAATGAAAAACTGACCATGAAAACAGTATTTTCACGTCAAGATGGTAAACAGATTATCTTTTTACCAAGTTCAAGGGGATACCCATATGTTTGGATTGTTTGGAAATCTGTATTATGGGGAGGGGGGTTGTTAAAAAAATAAAAATAAAAAAACACCACACAAACAAAAACAACCCTTGCATCACAGGAAGTGTATTGTGATTTGTCAAAACATTACAATGAAACAGGTTTACTGACAACATATGTATAATTACTGCAATACTGCAAAACAAATAACTTTGATAATTTGTTATCTAGCTTATTTCTACATAGGGCATACAGCATTAGTACCTAAACAACGTGTGACAAGGCTTAACATCTTACAAAAAGATGAGAAAAATGGAAATAATTTTTCGTAATCCGTTTAAATATTCACAAATAATATTTTATTTTAAAATTAGGAGTTAATTTGTGCAAATGTTGTAAAAGCAAAACAAAATGTTCCTTGCCACATTCGGTTACGAATTACGAATCCCGTAAATGATCAAAACAGTCGTCGAGTAGTTTGCATCACAGAATATTATTGCATCACAGGAAGTGTATTGTGATTTGTCAAAACATTACAATGAAACAGGTTTACTGACAACATATGTATAATTACTGCAATACTGCAAAACAAATAACTTTGATAATTTGTTATCTAGCTTATTTCTACATAGGGCATACAGCATTAGTACCTAAACAACGTGTGACAAGGCTTAACATCTTACATTTACAGACAATGCAATTGAAATGTTTACATTGGCTTGTCGGGGTAATATTTCTGTCCACTGACAACAGAGTTTTCCTTCTGAATTAGCGTAACTGCACAAGTTTTATACTTAATAAAATCTTTAAAAACAAATATAATTAGTTATACTTCCATTTCCTTCAATAAAAAGGAAATTGAGTAAAACGGTTGTGGACGTGGATTAGTAATCTGGCCGTTTACAGTGCGTGGAGTGGTGCGCTGTGATTGGTTGTTACTGTTTACAGTGCGTGAATGGTGCGCTGTGATTGGATCGGATATATCGCATTCTGCAGAAAAGGGAGACTGGCGTTTGTCGCGGTTTGGAAAAAAAGGGAGAAAACATTTTTCAACTCAAATTTTTTTTAATGGCTTATTTTAAATGGCGTTTATCGTGTTTTGGAACCAAACTCTACAAATATACTCTTATTATATAAAATATCTCAACTTTCTTTAGAGAATATTAAACAAGTGATATGATTACTTAAGCACAAAACTGAATACCTTTCTTCAAAAATTTATATGACATACAGAGTTACTTTTATTACACTTCACTAACCATCACCTTAGCAACATCACACTTGTGAGAGGCCTGTGTTCTTCAATCAGCTACATCCGAACCAAGTGTCATTTCACCACTTATTTTGACCACAGATTTAGCACACAATTAAATATTGAATGCTTAGAAGATAAAGTAGGCCTTGTGGTTTATTGCACAAGCTCAGTGACGTTTATTGCATTTGGCGCCCTTTGGCCCCGCAGTGGGTTTGTGGCCCTTGAGCTCTTCAGCGCACCGGGATCAGGACAGCAGTGGGAGTCGGGAGCTCAGAAACAAAACATCTGCTGGTTTTCACAGTGAAGGAGTACTGATAACTGCACTAGTCATAATGGTACGTTTGTCAGTTCTGAACACAATCAGATAATCTGTGTCTTTATTTCATTATTGTATAAAGCAAAGTAGGAATTAATGTGTGCATGATTTGATAATGAACATTTCAGTGTTCAAAGCTATAAATGATTTTTGCAATAAATCATTGACAGAAATGAGAACATACAATTATAGTTGCAGCTGTTGAAATATCGGTCTACAATTACGCTTTTGTTTAGCATTTATATTAAACGGATTAAATTATAAATGTGTCGTTTCTATATAGCAAATATTCTATACTCCAAAAAAATAAATCGTGTTAGATTTAATGGAGGAATTGTATTAAATCCTGCAATTTTGCATTAAGCTAATGAAGACTGTGTTGTAAACCAACGAGAACCTAAAGAAAAACGTGCTTAATTGCCATACAATTACTGCAATGAGTCATAATAGTTTTATATATATGGTTAATTTTTTGGTCGAAATGTAGCGTTATTTTTTTTGTGAGAATCAGACAGCCAAACATTGTGTTTCTCCATTTGACCGCAGGGTTGTGCACTATAGGCTAATCAGTTTAATGTTCTCAGTCCCAGTGGAAGTTCATGCATATAAACTTTCACACAGTTGCACGACAAGCTCATTTGAAATAATTACTAAATAGGAATCTGCCAGCCACACACTTTCAGTCTTAGTGAGGACGCCACGGGTACATTTAAATGTAACCTTTTCTCTCAAAGTGTTATCACAACTTTTGCTCTCCTGTCTTTTCATTAAAAGTTAATAAAGTACCCTTGTTGATAGGTTCTTCTGGACTTTGTTCAGGTGAGAATGTAAACACCATCTCTTACAATTCACCTGAAAAAAAAAAAACCTATATTAATAATATATAAAAAAAAAAGAAATACATAAATATCTACATAAAAATCCACTTAATTTGTATAAAATTAATTTAAAAGATTCACATAAAATTCTAAATAAAATCTAAATTAATAAATAAAGTCTATAAATAAAAAAAATAAATGAATACAAATCTGAATAAATTAACAAAAACTAAATAAATACATTTTCAAATATTTCTGCCATTATTTATTGATTGATTGATGAAAGCGGGGTCAAATACCAATGTCACCGTGTTATTGTAATAACAATAACTGTTACAATTGCATTTACCGTGGTAAATATTTAAAGGTAAGAAAAATGTGGAATTAAAAAAATGAGAGAAAAAGTCTTCAATCGTGGACATGTCTAGTAAATCAATTTTTTTCGAGTTATATTTTGCTTTAATAACATTTGGATAACACTGGATTTCTCAGTGCAGTGTTTTTGTACACTATAGTGTGTAAGTGGAAAAAAATGTTGCCTGACATGCAAAGTAAAAGTCTATATGAAGAGTTCAGATGCAAAAGCCTCTAAGTGCCATTTGAAATTTTCGTCTAAAATGACCTCCTATGTATAGGTCCAGTAAATTCACTTAATAATAATAATAATAATTCATTACATTTATATAGTGCTTTTCTGAGCACTCAAAGCGCTTTACATAAGGGATCGGGGCGGGGACGGACACTTTAGTGGCAATGAATAGCCTAGGTTCTTTTCATTGCCATTAAAGTGAAATAACTGAATGTAAACATAGGAGCCTGAGAAAAATGCTAATTTGTGACCCTGGACCACAAAACCAGTCATAAGGGTCCATTAAAAAAAAAAAAAAAAAAAAAAAATTTAATTGCTAAATAAATAAGCTTTCCATTGATGTATGATTTGTTAGGATTTGACAATATTTGGCTGTGAAACAACTATTTGAAAATCAAAATATTAAGAAAATCGCCTTTAAAGTTGTCCAAATGAAGTTCTTGGCAATGCATATTACTAATCAAAAATTAAGTTTTGATATATTTACGGTAGGAAATTTACAAAATATCTTCATGGAACATGATCTTTACTTAATATCCTAATGATTTTTGGCATAAAAGAACATTTTTTATCATTTTTTATATATATATATGTTTGTTTATATAATAAATTGTATTGTTTATTGTTAATAAATAAATAATAAATATTTATTTATGCATTTATTTATGTATTCAGTTATGTATTTAACGATTTATTTATATATTTCAACATTTATTTAATGATTTAATTTTGAGTAATGGTCCTCCATATCATAGAACAACTGGAAAGGTCAGTGTTTATCCAGCACATCTTCATCCATCATCCCTCCGCAGGTGCTCTTCTGCGCGGATCTGCTGTGTTGCTGCTGCTGCTGTTCTCTGGCCGTTCTGGCGCTCGTCGCTGCGGTCTGGCTCTTCAGAGACCTCCGTCAGATCAGCGGCATCCACGAGAAACACGTCCTGGTGACGGGCTGCGATAGCGGCTTCGGACTGCTCGCGGCGCGGCAGCTCGACCGGCGGGGGTTTCACGTGATCGCCGCGTGTCTCACGGAACCTGGTGCCTCCAGACTGCGCGCGGCGGCCTCCCCCAGACTCAAGACGCTTCTGCTCAATGTTACCGACAGCGCGAGCGTGGAGAGTGCGCTGGAGCGCGTGCGCAGCGAGACCGGGGAGAGAGGTGAGACGCACAGTCAGATAGGGTGCCAGCTCGAGTCAAGCACAGCGAGAGATAAAGCCGAGATACAGGCACTTTGACGACCACACAGCCCTCAGACCAACTCATAAATCTGCAACCCTTGGACAAGCGCTTTTAGTTGACCTGGAGGAGCATCTTCAGGCGAATGCCATTCTCATACCAAAGCTGCATCATTTATTATAGAACGACTTACTTTCCTCATATAGCACCTGACATGTTTGCACACCTCAGTGACCTTTGACCTTAAAAGGATAGTTCAGCCCAAAATTAATATTTGCTGACAGTTTACTCACCAAATAGCAGTTGCCAAGGGCTAATCAGTCTTACTTTTCCAATACAAATAAGACTAATCTACCTTTTCATAACTGAATTAAAAAAAGTAATGACCAGTATTCAAGAAGAAAAAAATAGACTAACTTTTTAAGACTAGTCTAAACGTCTAAATGGATCCTCTGCAGTGAATGGGTGCCGTCAGAATGAGAGACCAAACAGCTGATAAAAACATCACAATAATCCATATGACTTTTTTTTTTATATCTTGTGAAGTGAAAAGCTGCATGTTTGTAAGAAACAAATCCTTCTTTAAGGCATGTTTAAACCGTTGCTTCTGGCCAAAATACAAGTACATTATCCATAATAACGCTTCCTCCAGTGGAAAAAGCCCATTTTCTGTTGTCCTTTCACATCAAAATCCACCAAAATATTTGTTTAGGACTGTTTTTGCTTGTAAACGGTGCTTGATCTGTGCATATTTTTCTCCTAGTTTCTCTCAGTCGAGACAACTTTTTAACTGAAGAAAGCAATATTATGGAGAGGACTCGTATTTTATCCGGAAGCAACAGTTAAAATGTCTTAATGATAGATTTTGTTTCTTACAAACATGCAGTTTTTCACTTCACAAGATGTTAACTGATGGACTGGAGTGGTGTGGATTATTTGTGGATTATTGTGATGCTTTTATCAGCTGTTTGGACTCTCATTCTGACGGCACCCATTCACTGCAGAGCATCCATTGGTGAGCAACTAACGCAATACTACATTTTTCCAAATCTGTTCTGATGAAGAAACAAACTCATCCACATCTTGAATGGCCTGAGAGTGAGTAAACTATTCTTTCCATTGTGTGATTTGCATGTTCTTACTTTTTCTTGTGTCAGGTCTGTGGGGTTTGGTGAACAACGCTGGCATCTCGGTCCCCATCGGCCCCATGGAATGGATGCAGCTGGAGGACTTTAAGAAGGTTCTGGACGTAAACCTCATCGGTTTTATCGAGGTGACTCTGAAGTGTCTTCCTCTGCTGAAGAAGGCTCGTGGTCGGGTGGTGAACGTGGCCAGCATACTGGGCAGAGTCTCACTCATCGGGGGAGGATATTGTCTCACTAAATATGGTGTGGAGGCCTTCTCTGATAGCTTGAGGTATGTTTAGGCAATTAACAAGAAACTTCGAGACATGTCAACAAGGTCTTTTAGCATGTTTTGTAAAAAGTACACATTTTGCAGGTCCTCATGGCTTACATTTTTATTTATTTAATACATATTTTTTTAAATAAATGTATGTATTTATTAAATATCTTTATTTATTTAAATAGATATAAATACATTTTAATGAATACATACATAAAAAGTAATAATTACAAATAAAAATAATACAAATAATAAAACATTAAATTTATTCTATTATGTTGACAATAAAATAATCTGTCTATTTATCCATTTTTAATTTTGCAGGTCATCATGGATTTTTTTCTTTTCAAATATAAAAACATAAATACACTTCATGTATTCATTTAAAAAATATATATTTAAATATAAATAAATCAATACAATTTTAACAAATACATAATGCATTTAATAATGTAATAATTAATAAATTAAAATGTATTTTATATATTTTTATAATATATTTTATATTGCTATTAAGCTGATAATATCATCTGACTTTTATTAAAAACAGCCAACAAAATCCATTTCCATGTATTGTCATTTGTCTTTGTAAGACCTCAGACCACAACTTCAGTCTTTCTGAAGTTAACCTTGAAACACGTTGACATTTCATTGAGTAAAACTTTTAAACCTTACCCATACTTCAACTTCTTAGAGATTTGCATCTTTCATTCACTGTCTAATAATGTCTCCAAAATCATTTTATTCTCTCTCTTGCTGCTGTCAGGAGAGATATGATGCACTTTGGAGTGAAGGTAAGTATCATTGAACCAGGCTTCTTCAAAACACAAGTAACAGATTTGAGCCTCATTGAAGATGATCTGAAGAAACGGTGGAGCAACCTCCCAGCAGAGGTCAGGAGAGCCTATGGAGACTCATACCTGCAGGACTGTGAGTGCTTCTAATGTCATATCAGTGCAGATTTCATGCAACACTACTTTAGAATTTGAAGACTGATATCATGATGCATTCAAACATGCACTCACAACTTCAATTTCAATGTTGTTTAGCATTTGCGTATTGCTAATCAATGCAATGACACTCTAAAATACACTGCACACACAAAAAAAGTCTATTTTTAATGATATTAAACCATTTTTGCCGCCTTATATAGATGGAAATGTTTGAAGCAGAGCCTCATGTGATGCTGTTTTGTTGTACCGACTGAACTCGAGTGACATTTCTGCATTTCTCTCAATTATTTTTTCCAGATATAAAGTTGCAGGAGTTATCCATGAAGACTCTGGCCAGCAGTGATCTTTCTAAAGTGACGTCATGTATGCAGCATGCTCTTTCAGCGCGTTATCCCCGAACACGCTACAGTGCAGGCTGGGACGCCAAGTTCCTCTGGATTCCCCTCTCGTACCTGCCGACATGTATAGCAGACATCTTCACCAACAATTTAATGCCTTCCACGAAGGAGAGCTGAATATCTCTACAAAGATTTGCTGAAAACACCACTGCAGCTCAACTTATCTGATTTGTGAAGTTTTGTCTTTGAAACTGTGATTGCTGTATGCAACAATGATCACCCAGCCCTGCATTATGAAAACAATTCTGCTGATTTGCCAAAAAAAGGCCTAATATTATCTAATTTGATGATGCTGATTTAAAAAATCAGCATGCGAGTTCATCACATATGCAACATTTAAATGTCAAGTGTTTCAAATCATTTAACTTGCAATCTGCAAAGTAGCGGAAAAAGTGGAAATCAGGATTAGGCATAAAAAATGTCTTCAGAATCATTCATATATGTGAAAATGGGCTGTGAATTGAACAAATGATTGCAACCTGACCCAGAGTAAGATGGGAAAAATATATTTGTGGCAAGTTTTCTGCTGATTAGGGGGGAATACAAGAATTCTTCACCTTATAAATAATTGTTGAAAGCAAAGAATGCTATGTAATGCATCATATTTTGTGAGAAAGTGATGCATAGAGTGAAAAAGGCACTATTTTTGCAATCAGCACCTCAAAAATTAGTAAGAAAAGTATTGGATTTCATTAATGCAGGGCGGTGCAATAATACAATCAAATAAAAATACATTTTATATATTGTTGCATTTTCCATAAAGTACCCTTTGGTGTCCAACAACGTACTGATTCATGTATGTTTTTTATGTTTGACCATCTCATTTTTAATCAAAATGTCATAAATGGATATTCCAGTTATTTAGTCTGCTTAAACCCTAAGCTCACATTCATCTGCGTCCACTTTTGAGTCCAACACCTATGTCTCAACATCACATCAACAACCAATACATACAACCAACATTTTTTAGTTTGTTTCTTTTTTTGATAATCCGTTACAATTGGATGTATGTCGCAATACAGAAAACATATGGTTTCACCAAGAATTTAAAATCATGTCATTACTTATTTCATCAAAAAAACAACAATGTGCTTTGAAGGAATGACTCAAATTAAGGAAATCTTCCAAATGGAAAACTCTTCAACACTCCTAAAAATCCATGTTTTGCAAATAGTGAAGACCAGGCTTAAAGAGAACCAAGAGCATAGATCTCAGAGCTCTTCATCAAGCAGAGGCCCACTGACCTCCCCCCAAAAATTAAGCTTTAATTTTTCCCCCCATATTTTTACAAAACATTCACTCCTCCCTCTTAATTTTTCCCCCCATATTTTTACAAAACATTCACTCCTCCCTCAATCACACACTCATTTCTTCAACCCTCTCAATCAGCACCAAGTTTTTCCAAATGGAAAACTCTTCAACACTCCTAAAAATCCATGTTGTGCAAATAGTGAAGACCAGGCTTAAAGAGAACCAAGAGCATAGATCTCAAAGCTCTTCATCAAGCAGAGGCCCACTGACCTCCCCCCAAAAATTAAGCTTTCATTTTTCCCCCCATATTTTTACAA